ATATATGTATGTATGTATGTATGTATATACATACATGCTTACTTAGGTAGGATGCCAGGCGAATGATTCACCCATAAAGCGATATGTTGAGTGGCGTCTGACGCTCAAATGACTGAGCTACAAGGCCATTCTGTTTCTTGTAAATTAACGATGCTAAAATTTAGCAGAAATACCACAAATTTAGTTGACTAAGGAATCAGCGGGAGACGTGAAAAATTTAACAGTACGGTTAATTGTGCTCACTTTCGTATCAACTATGAAATCAGAGGGTAACCTGCCGACAATATGAACGCTGCATTCGATGATCGTTAAGACTGGAAAGGAAGCCTTGGAAGGGACAGAAATTTGTGGCTCAGAAAACAAGTCGCCGGCAAATTCAGCAGAGGTCGCATTATAAAATTGGATACATGGTTAATGCACGTTCTTACCGTACGCTAGCAAATCCCTTCCACATTGTCATTAGGGTGTCGCTAGCAGAACGGTCGTCGTCGCTCCAAGACGCACCTTGCAGAGGCAAAGGTAGAAGGTTCTTTGGCATCCACGGAAAGCCAAATAGCAAATATAAGTCACATTCATGACACACACCTGAATCACGCTATGGGTTAAACGAAATAGCTGATCGACCTACCCATCCAATCCGGGACTAGGCGATGGCCATCAGCACCAGAGCGCGCAGTAATGCTGTAATTATTAACATACATGAAAACCATACTCCCGGCTTCTGAACGCAGTTGGGCCGCTTTGCTGACCGGAGCCACGTAATACGCATCGGTTGCAAACTAAAAATATCTGCACTTCTGAGACTTTAAATACATTTGAATCAGCACATTTTCATCATAAAATTAACGAGTTCAAATGTAGTGACAAAAGCCAGTTATCCCAAATCGTGTTGAAAGAACCATAAGCCGACATGTTAGAAACAGGATAACATAAGAGGAATAACTAAACCTGGAAAACCTGACAAAACAGTCGCAACAGAGAAAACAAGCTGTGGAATATCATAAAAAAATCAACTTGCTTCCAGTAATAAAGTTAATCTAGAAACTTCTTGCCAGGGACATTCTTTATAAACATTTCAAATTCAACTTTGTAATAGTTATTAAGTGTGAAATTTGTAAAGAACCTTCCCTAATATTTTCCTTAACTGAACTGATCGATTCAATTTTTATGTTCATTCGTTAACGTTCATATACAAATCTTTTTATGGAATTTTGGTAAAGCTGCCAGAAAGAAGTTCTGGAAATAGAATCCATTAATATGCTGATGAACTCCATGTGCAAGCTGAAGCATAAACTAATCCGAGGAATAACCTTACTGAAAAGAACAGCTCAAGAAGCCCTAACATTTCTAACAAGAAGAGACAGCATTTGACACAAACAGGTGTTCTCCAGAGGAAGCTTCCAGATGATTGAGTACACATCAAAGACGATGTGATGTTCTTTAAACTTAAATAGGTATTTCTTATTCATACTTAAATATCCAGCATGAGTCTACTGAATGCGTGAGGATTGTTGAACAAAATCAGCAACAACAACGCATCTCAAGACACCTGTTATGTAAGACAAACATGTTGCAGGCATCCATTTGAACGGTGCGCTTTAAGTGATACAAAGCGCATGATACGGTTTGCAAGAAGGACAAGTGTGCCCTTGTATTCTGGCGAGGCAAAATTGTAGAGGTTTTGCCAATTTAATCACTGAGTAGATTAAAGGTACGATAAGAATATTGAACGATGCAGCACGTCAACAAAGCGAATACTATTCAACAGCTGGTACCAATTAAGCTGACTTGATTGAAGGATCTATACATGTTACGAGCTAATACAAACAGAAAAAAAAGAAACTGGCCGGATAGCTGCTAACCCGGGTTGTTTTCAGCAGAGTAAACGAACCATTCTTCATTGAACGATTCACCTGATTAAGAACGTATGATGCTGACCGAAGGTGGACTTCAAGAGTAACATCACCGTGTTACCGAAATTTCGCCCTAGAGAAATAGGAGTTTTACGCACGGTTATCTGACAGGAAAGGTTCCATTGTTTTTATGCAGCAGTTGCTAAGTTGTTCCAACTTATAACGAAAATGATCTCAACATAAAAAGATTCATAAAGGTCATGACCACATTTCGATCTGATGGACATCGATTATCATTAGAGAACTGATAAACCTATGACAATACAACTTTATCCTTTTCATATTTATCTCCAACTGACACTATGTCATTACTGCATGTAGTAAAATAACAATCATGCCTTAAAAATGCCGACAGAACCAAATGAGTATCCGTTGCAAGTTCTGCTTTAGTAGGTGGCAGTGCGAAGCGGTTTTTTAAATAAAAACTTTATCATATCAGAGCACTGGCCGAATACTGTGAAATGAGTGTTGTTAACAAAATCGCCGTATTCCACGGCGTAGGTAGAAGGCAAGTAAGTATTTCATAAATGGACCGGTCAAACAGGACCGTTAAAGATGATTATGATGCTATGCAAAAAAAAGCATTACTGAGAAATAGTTCAAGAAGCGCTGCTTTATATTCGATGATTAGACGCATCGCTTCAGCTTCCAGTGTTCGCAATCTGATCTAATAAACAAAATGCCAAATTTCAGCTTTGGAAACACATCAAGAAACTGGGTTAAAAAGTTTTTCGAACCAACCATTAGACAATGCCAACTAGTTCAACAATGGATGTCAGAAGTGAAATAGCGGCGCACTCAATCTCTGAAGCTCAGTTATTTTAACAGAAGGCTTACTTACACGAATAAACTCTTGCCGAACTTTATCATTATCTGCAGGATCAGGCCAATATGTATATTCGTATTTGATCGCTTCCACCGCCGGTTCTCGATTTGTCGTATAATTTCTTTTTATGACGTAGTCCAGTATCTTGTAGTGGACATATTTTTGATCGATCAGAAACTGTACTCTTGCCAAATCGCGTTCAGCGACTAAAATCAAAAAGACGATTAACCTAAGATGAAATGACTAGAAAGCGAGCGATATTCACGTGATGATCGTATTCGGTAGATCGGTGCGTGTGGCAACACTTAACGACTAGATGAAAATAACTACAATCAAACCTTAAACCCTTTCCTACAGTGAATTTGACACTGTTCAAAAACTGTTCCTTCACTAAGAAATCCGGAAGGCGTGCTTCCCTAAAGACCTGTGCTCCAGATGTGCAGTATTTCAACGTCAAATTCACGATCATCGACATCTTTAGCTGTTTCTATTAGCTTCGTGCCAACATTTTCTGTGTTCATCACTCAGTCACGTTGTTTACATTAAAAGTGTTTATGGGAACTACTATATCTACGATAAAATAATCGAATATGATGTCAAATAAACGCCCCGCTGACGCTGGAAACTCCTCAAAATCACTTCTATAAGGAACAACACCGACTTTATTGCTGATTAAGCGGCTTTCGACTAATTGCCGTTTTCCTTTTTCTAATAAAGTCACTTAAATTTTTAATCTACCTCCAAATGAAATAGTATTCATTTGGAATCTTCTAAGCATACATAGAAGATAAATTTAAGCACATCAGACGTCACCGCTGGTTCCATAAACCATATCATGGAACAATTAAATACCATGAAATAGTAGTAAGAATTCTTTTCCCTGACTTAAGTCCAGCATTACAACACGATCCTGTGGATCAAAGCGTTTAACAGTCTAGGTCAACTCTGATCAAATTAAAAGGAACGTCAATTTACTGGCTTAACGGCGGTATTACCAGTACGGGATCTTGCAGACCTAGTTCTCAAACGACCGATCTCGGTGTGCTGCAACGCATCATGTTATTCTCTCTTCCTTATTTTCTGCGTTACGGACCTTAAATTCAGTGCCGTACTAACCATCCTAACCACTATGTTTTTTACGCTGATAAGATGACAATTACTGCAGTTGTAAGCAGCGACTTTTCAGTGAGCATTCACCAAGATAAACTGCTCTGCTCGAAGTTCATCTGATATTTTGTTGTAGTTTAGTCTAAAATGGTGATATGTCATTCAGAATACAAAAAAACCAAAAATCTTTGCAGTTACACCTTTGTGGTGATCCTTACAAAATTTGTGTGGACAATGCATGCGTAGTCTATAAAATATCTTGCCATCTTTCTGTCAGATCTCTCTTGGTCCAAACATGAAAAGCTGATTGTTGATAAAACGCGTAGCGCGTAATATCATTTTTGCCTTTAGCAAGGAGGCATTACAATCCACTTAGCACTTTGTTCTCTCGAGAAATCATGCATTTTCCATTCATTATTACGCTCTCTCTTTTCTCCTAACTGCAAAGGGACTAGTGCATACTATACCGCCCTTAAATCGGCACTGGCCATGATTTTGACCTTGAAATATTGGTCAAAGTTATCAGAGAGGAATTCAATAATTCTAACTATGTTTGCGCATTTTATATCCAAGAGCAAGCGTTCTTTTGATTTGAACCTGTCGTCCTGCACATTCTTATACTCCGGTACTAGATCAAAAATTGACTGGAAGATCCATGTGCCGGAACAAATTATTATTGAAAATTTAGTAGTTTAGTTTACAGTTAATAGTTTACACAGCACCAATCAATCAGTTTCACTGATATAAGTAAATATTAAATACTTATGCACTTATCTCCAATTGATTATTACACACAGCTGATAAAAAACAAAATTTAACTTCACAAAGCAACCTTAGTACTCTCGTCACGAAAATCGGCCAAGGACAAAGGCATGAATCATATGACAGAGCGAAGTACATTAAGGGTGTACTAATGAGCAATTACAGAAGCCGTGAAAGCTTGCCATGAACCTCGACAATGTCTGCCAACGAGGCTCTGGTAACTGCGGCTGACAGAGTTTCTTTTACGGCCATTCTGTATAAGACATTCGATTACAAACACGAACAAGGACTGAGAGTCACAATTCGTATTAAGTCTTGTAGAAGGTACCGTATGATACTCTTACCCGTCGCTCATTTCTCAACCGAAAATTAAGACGCTCATCGGTTAGATTGAAAGAAACAACGTGAATCATTGTCAGGGAACGATCGGCAAAAGATAAAACGCCAGAAACTTCAAAAATGCCAAACTGGCTTAGTTGTCTGATTCTTGACTGAAACCCAAACCTCCCAATCCAGCTATTGAGAGAAAACACGCATTCCATTTAAAACTCGAATATAGGGCTAAATAGTTACGTAAAACTTCGCCACCGTCGTCGACGTTCACTCCTGTTACGTAAGGCACTGGCGAAACCATAAGCTTCTGTTGCAACATGCGCTCCGGCGAATCAAGCAACACGTTTTTGTCGACCACTGGCAGAAATGCGTATCGATTATATTCGACCTGAAAGCACACTTGCAAGTCAGGAGGCGTCTGTTACAGCAGGGCAGACAGCAAATATTGAATATAAATATTCGAATACTGAGGCGACACAAGCGGAAATCGTTGATGATTGTCCGTTTCAGCCCAAAGCAAACAGGAGATCACTTTCAGTCGTCTGGATACGAATTTTATTACTAAGCACAATGCATTTCTGCTCAGGGCTAGGCCAGCGCAGCTCAATCTACAGAAGTCAAAGCGTAGCCTATCATAATCCCGGTCAGGTCACTTGCCTTTTAATTTTACAAGGTAGATAAATGAGCAACACTGTGCTGAAAGTAACAAGCTAACATGCTGCAGTGGTAAAAAATAAAAAGCACATGGGTCATAATTATTGCGACGCAGAGGTGCATCTAAGTAGAACCAAGTATTTCGTTTCAAGTTCAGATTTAGGATAAACCTCTGAAAGGATGAAAAATCAATATGCCACAATCATACTGATATATTCAGCGGCGGTATAGATAGCTCTCCAGAACATCGGAGTTCCATTCTGACAATATAATGTCCCTGCTCAAGTTCTAATTAAAGTTAACATCATTCCAGATAATGACGCTGAGATACTTAAACAACGGTATTTCTTATATGATAGTGCTTTCTCGATAAACCGTTTGTTCCCACTGCTATATCCGTTCTCATCTTTATCATTAAGAGACATAACTAGAGGCTCGATTTTCCTGAAGTTTTCCGCACCGCTTCAGTTAATGCGCGGTTTTCTTCACTGGAAGTTAGCAAGACGGTGTCATTAGGTGAAGTACTTAGCCGGATAATTTGAAATTCGTCTCCGGATCCGCGTCGTTCGGCGTCATTTCGTAGAATGTGGTTCATCACTAACCTGTGCAGAATGAAGTACAGATCCTATCAGAGGCAAGCTATCATAAAGATTCCACTTATGCATTAGATAAGGA